CTTACTATGCTAAAATAGTTGAGACTTTAAGAGAATGTGCAACGAAATAAACTGAAATCTTTTCATTAATATATTTGTCTTAAAATAGATCTGAATAAAGATGTAATTTTTTTGACATGTAATATTCTGATTGGCTAGATTCGAGACTCATGTGATGGTACATCTTCGCCACGTGGTGAGATCTCAAGGATTACATAGCAAATCGAGCGTGGCGAGGGAGACCTGGTCTTTGGTTGAATGTGTCCACCGATTATAGCCGGTCGAAAGAAAGTGTATTACCGGTTGGTCCGGTGAGAAAAGGTCAATATAGTCTTAAAAAGGGTTTAAGCAAAAAACGTGGTCGTCTTTCTTAAGGGTTTTTGTTTCGGAAGCGTTTCGTAGAGAGAGAGATTGATTTTGCTTGTGGTGAGAGAAGATTGAATCGTGTGGGTAGCGTTTCAAACAAGTAAAAAAATAAACAAAAAAAAGTTTCCTTCAGTTTCTCGGGAAAATCTGTGAGAAAGGGTTTGGTGTGTGAGTCCTTCTTTTCCGATCTCGCAATTGCCGGATTATTCGCCGGGGAATTTAACCGTAGTTTTTCTTTTCTTTCCCGATCTTGTAATCGTCTTGAAAACTGAAGATTGGGGATAAAAAGGTGAGAGAATTTAGATGGTTTTTCGTTGTTTTGGGTTACCGAGAAAATCCCTTGAAACGATAGAGATTTTTCCTTCTTTTTTTTTCCAAGGGAATTTCGTCTTTGAAATTTTCTGGGTAAATCCTGATTTTCGCTTCTTTTGTTCCTGGACCTGAGATTTGATTTCTTCCTTTTATGTATTTTGCATATCTTTCTTCGATTTTTATTCGTCGTTTTGTATCACAATCGTATTCGTCGATCTGTAAAACCTGATCTGAGATTTAAAATTGAGTCTCTTTGCAAAACCCGTGATCTGTTGGTTCTTTGATCCTGTTAAAAAATTTGTTAGGGTTTAGGGTTTTCCTGTGCGAAAATCTCTGAAAACTACGATTTGACTATAGATTTCGGATCTCATATTGATTAGGGTTTTAGGGTGGTTTAAGCTTTCGCTGGGATTGACCCAGAACGTTCAAAATCCTTGTCTTTTTTCCTTCATGCAGTATTTCCAGAGACGAAACCGTATTGTTCTGTATTTTCATATTCTCAATTTTGTTGGATAAAATTTAATTTTGATTTCACATTTATCTACAGGTAGAATTTCGCTGGATAAGCCATTGAAACACAAGCTTGTAATCGTGTGGCAATCACATAATCGTGTTATGCATTCTGAGAAATGGTGTCGCATAAGTGTGTAGAAGAATTTGGATACAGAGGCTACGAGTTACCTCCCAATGCTAGAGCTCCCAGATCAGCTAGGGTAATGGCCTTAACCATCTGCAGTTCGTTCTTAATCGTTACATGGATAGTCAGTTTATGTAATTTGCTCTACTTTTTTTTGTGCTAGAAGAAGCGCAGTTTCGAGAAGATATGTGAAGATGATGATCAAATGTGCCCAATCGATTTATTGGCCACCGTAGCTGGAAACTTGCTGTTTGAGAGCGGAAGTTCTCTCATGTCGATTGACAAACCTGTTAATGGAATTGAAGATAACTGTGTAGTTGCACAAACTAGTGTAAAGGAGGAGTTCGAAGAGGAAGAAAAACCCGTAAAGCCAGTAACTTTATCCGATGATAGTCCTTATCAGGAATCTTTGAGCCATTGCGGATTCAGTTCCGTGATAAGTGGCAAAGTAGAGAATGAGGCAGAGAGTTTTAGTAACTCAGGTCGTAGTGATTCTTGTCAAGTGGAGGACTTCAGTCAGGATCTAAAACCGGGTATAGATGGCGATGCAGTAGTACTTGATGCGAGACCTAATATTGTAGCTAGTTTAGGTAGTTGTAGTAGAACCGAACTGCCAACGGTTGGGAATGTTCCTTCCCATGGCGTTCGAGATGATGTAAATATGTTTAGTAGAGATGATGATGAAAACTTTTCTGGGTATATTTGCCCTCGTGTGAACAAAAAACCACCTAGGACTGTGCCACGTATTGGGGACAGAAGGATCAGGAAGATATTGGCTTCTAGACATTGGAAAGGAGGTTCAAGACATGCAGGTAGCAGCCCGCCTAAAGGTTTCTTTTCTATTTTCACATCTTAAATACAATGATATGTTTTGTTTTGAAGACGTGTGTTTCGTGTTGCAGATGTGAAACCTTGGAGAAATCATTACTTGAACCATCAGAGGAACTATCCTATCAAGATAAGAAGAAACTTTGACCACATTTCTGATTCAATTTCTGATGATTATCGTTTGCGCACAAAGATCCATAGAGGTAAAGAGACTATTTTTCCTAATTCCTCTGTCTCTGTCTTGTAGTTTTTTTTCTGTTGTAATGAGGTTTTGCAATTTAAATTGCAGGCAGCAGAACGATTTCTTCGAGGAAAGGTCAAGGTGCATCGTTTGTGTCAAGCGACTCTCAGGGTAACCAAGAAGTCTCATTTGAAATCATTTTTCAGCTCTATTTATTTATGAGAACCAAGAAGCTTATGTAAGAATGTCTTTGCTGCTTTTTTATTTTTTTTCTCAGTGAAACTGCGGATCAAATCGTTCAGGGTGCCTGAGCTTTTCGTAGAGATTCCAGAAACTGCTACTGTTGGCTCCTTGAAGGTAACAACATTGCCCAGCTAGCTCTTCAATTTCGCTCATACTAACTTTTTATGTTCTGATGTTTTTTTTCTTTGTTTGAAACTCTCATGGTCCTTTTGCTTCTGCAGCGAATGGTGATGGAAGCAGTGAGCACTTTATTGAGTGATGGACACCGAGTTGGTCTGATGGTTCAGGGGAAGAAAGTCCGAGACGATAACAAAACCCTTTATCAGACCGGGATCTCTCAGGATAACACCCACTTGGACTCTCTTGATTTCAGCCTTGAACCCAGCTCTGAAGCGCCTCAACTTTTAACTAGGTTCACACTTGTGTTCACAACTCAAATCTGTCATTGTGTTTAAAACTCGATCATTGTGCTACAAGTTCTTGTTTTCTTTTTTCAGTTACCCGCTGGGGCAAGCCTGCGAGGAGCTGCTGCCTGTGTGCAATGCTTCTAACATAGACAATGTGTTGGAATCTGACCATGACTCAGCACTGTTCCCATCTGACTCATTTGGCAAGAAAAGCGCGGCAGATGAATCTAAACCTCTGGTTCCTGTCGCGCGCACTGATATGTCTCACCAACAACCTTGTCGTAGATCTAAAAGGAGTGAACAACAGCAGACTGCACACCGCAGAATCCGTCGACCTTTCTCAGTTTCTGAGGTAGAAGCACTTGTTCTAGCAGTTGAGAAACTCGGTACTGGAAGGTAAAACAAAAAACTAAATTGCATCAACAACATTTTTGTGATTGTGAAGTAGCAGAAGAACGATTGAACTTTGTTGAAATCTGCAGGTGGAGAGAAGTTAAGATCTGTGCTTTCGAAGATGCAGATCACCGCACTTACGTTGATCTCAAGGTTTGCATTTAATCTCTACCTTACTTAATACACAACCACTGTATCCAAAGTAGTCCCAGGATTAGGTCTGAGAAACCGGCGTTTGGTTTTGTGCAGGACAAATGGAAAACACTGGTCCATACGGCTAAGATTTCTCCACAACAGAGGAGAGGAGAGCCAGTGCCGCAGGAACTTCTAGACCGAGTGTTGAACGCACATGGCTACTGGTCGCAGCAGCATGAGAGTAAGAACAAGCAGCAGCAAGAGACAGTGAGTCAGGCAGAGGCTCTGCTTCAGCTCTAATCATTCTATTGCTGCAGGGCCTCGTCTTTCCTCTGGGAATGATTTGATATGATATTATGTAAGATTCTGACATAGATGCAAAAATG